TTTATCTTTGTAGAAATTCTTATCTCATTACCAAAAAAAAAAACTATTTTATAGTTACTAATGCTTTTGTATTTCAAAAAAAAAAATTACAAAGTCAATATATACAAAAAATGTTATTTGCACAATAATCATGAAATAAATCTTAAGATTTTCAAAAAACCAAAAACTGATCCAATCCAAACCGAAAAAAATTGGATTGGATCGGATCGGATTTGAAAAAAATTTCAAACTGAATGGATGATTATATGATCAAACCGAAGGAATTGGATTAGATGATTTTTGCTTCCAAAATCAATCCAATTTAGACCGCGAACACCCCTAGTCTCCTATACCAGCCGCCCCAAAACCCTTCAGGTTATTCTATGTATATCTCTTCATCCAGTTTGCCATGAAGGAATGCAATCTTCACGTCCATCTACTCAACTTCTAAGTCTATTGAGGCTGCCATTGCAAGTACCGCTCGAACTGAAGTCATATTGACGACCGATGAGAATATTTCATCAAAGTTAATTTCCTTCTTCTAATTACATTATTTCACTACAATCTTGGCCTTGCATCTTGGCTTTTGACCGGCTGCCTCATGTTTGATCTTATAGATCCATTTGTTCTTCAGCACATGTCTCCCTTTGGGCCACTCAATCAACTTATAAGTATATTTTTCACGCAAGGACTTCATCTCGTCATGCATAGCCTTTTCTTATTCATGTCAGTCGATACACGACATGGCCTCATCATAACTATGTGGCTCACCTTCTTTTGCAACCACAATATACTTGGTCGCCTTACTCTAGTAGAGTGTCTTGTTTCTGGTCGATCAATATGATGGTCCTGCTCAACATTCTCTTTCGGGACCTCTGGCCGATCGACATCACCTTGTTCTTCATTACCTTCCTTACTGCCCGATTGGTGATGATCTTCTTGTTCGTTCAAATCGGTAGTTGTTTCTCCCCCTGTTTTCGCCCGGACAAGAGGGACTGATTCTTCACGCTGGTCGGCAACACAAACTTTGGGCTTTGAGATGTCTTTGATGGTCTCATCTTCATGAAAGATCACATCTCTGCTTTTCAAAACCTTCCTTCCGATTGGATCCCCAAGTCGATATCCAAATTCACATCTAGGCTAACCAAGGTATATGCATTCTTTAGTCTTGCCGTCCAGCTTCACCCTTTCATCCTTTGGAATATGCATAAACACCCTGCAACCAAACACCTTCAAGTGATTATAGGTTGTTTTTTGACCGGTCCACACTTCTTCTAGAATCTCTCCTTCAAGCGGTTGGGAAGGAGACAAATTAATCAGATCAACAGCCGTTCAGAATGCTTCACCCCAAAACGGTTTTGGCAGCTCGACATGAGATAACATGCATCTAGCCTCCTCTTCAATCGTCTTGGTCATCCGCTCGGCAACACTATTCAACTGAGGAGTCTCGGGGGGTGTCTTCTAGACTCTTATACCGACCGACAATAAACGGGCCACAATATTCTTCCCCGTTATCCGATCAGACTACCTTCTGTTTCCGACCGGTCTCCCTTTCAACAGTAGCATGAAATTCTTTAAAGAATTGGAGAACCTATTATTTGGTCTTCAACAAATATACCCATATTTTGAGGAAATAATCACCAATAAAGGAAATAAAATATTGAGATCCACTGAGCGATCTCTCTCCCATAAAGCAGATGTCGATGTGGACGAGGTCTATAATATACCTACGTCTTCTAGGCTGAGCAGGTCGGACAAAAGAAACTATGTGCTACTTTCTAGCAAGGCAGTGCATACAGCTCTCCAGCATATGCCCATTTTGTCTGGTCATATGCTATTGTCGTCCGGGCCACAAGCCTTTCTTGCTCAGGATTCATGGCCCTTTTCACTCATGTTGCCAAATCTCTTGTGCCACAACTCAATATTAGCTTCGTCCGCGGATTGCATTGGTCTCTCCTACATCAGTTATAGGGAACCTTCTTTCTTTCCTCAGGCAACCACCAAGATTCCTTTGCCCTGTTTCCATCTTCCACCATAGAAGAAACTCACTAACCCGACGTCTAGCTTTTTGGCCGAGATTAGGTTCAGTCTCATGTCAAGCATATGTTTTACATCCTTCAACATAAGTCTGCAGCTAACATCAGTGGTCAACGCTACTTCTCCAACACCAATAATCTTGCTCGTGACTTGGTTCCCCATCTTCACAACACCAAAGTCAAGCTTTTTTGTAAGCAAAATCAACTATCCACACTTAGTCATCATATGCAACATTCAGAAAATCCTCACCAGGAATAAACACCTCAACATCAGTGTTGGCGACCACTGCAGTGGTGCTTTTATCTTCTTTTTTCTTGGGCATAATCTGGTCAAGTTTTACATTGCAGCTTTACAGATCTTTCTTCAGAGTCCGGCAATCAGGTTTCTTGTGACCGTGCTTCCCTTAGTAGAAGCAGGTCAGCTAATACTTTGGCCTCGACCGGCCTCTGTACTTGTCCTGGTCGACACGACCATAGCTCTTGCTCTTACCACACCGGTTCTTCCTTCCTTTGCTCTCAACAACATTCCCTTCAAAAATACTGAAAATTCCCCTTTCATTTCTTCGAGACTCCTCATTCAAAAGGCTATCTGTTACAACATCTAGAGTCAACTTTCCTTCTGAACTTAGTTTCTCAAAGTCACCACCAAGGTATCTCAACTCTCTGGTAGTGAGCTGAGCAGCAACAGAGCTTGAAGCTCATCATTTATCTTCATTTTAGTTTTTGATAACTGATTCACAACGCCCTTGAATATGTTCAAATGCTGTATCATATTTATGTCATCCTTGTATTCAAATTATGCAAGTCGGAGAATCAGGTGTGCTTTATTCCTGGGAGTCTTCTTCTGAATCATGGACTTGAGCTTCGTTCATAACTCATGGGCATTGGTAAACTCAACAACATGCTCGAAGAGACTTTTATCAATATATTTTCGAATTATAGCTACTTCCTTCTTATTTAAAATATCCTATTCCTTCTCATTCTTCCCTCCGGGTCTATTGGCATTCAGGATAGGCTCGTAGAGATCTTTGCAATAGAGGTGTCCCTTCAGTATGTAAAATTGCCAACTGTCAGTTTTAACATGTCTCCATCATGAGAAATACTGTCATTTGTCTACATCTCTTTACCCTTAGAACCCTTCGAACTCAGGCTCTAATACCACTGTTAGGACACGATCCCTCAAACAGTCAATTCATACGGAAACAGTGTTGCCAATCGGCTAACATTATCCCAGCTGGTCAGCACACTCAGTCAGAACCGATCGTCAAACATTTGCTTACCGTTTGGCCAACACAGCAAACATACTTTGTCTTCTTCAATCTCAGAAACGCAGAAAACATAGAAGCAGAGAAAAAATGTAGGAAACAAAGATGATACAACAATTTTAATATGGAAAACCTCCTCCAATGCGGAGAAGTAAAAACCATGGGACACTAGTCCAGATTAAACTTCCACTATGAAAATAGCAGGTTACAAAAAATTGAACTTCTCTAGTCTCACCAGAGGAACTCTCAAACCTTACCTACAATGGTGGTACTCTCAATCTTTATTAACAATGGTGGTTTTTCTCTCAAACGTCTCTAAAGAGGACTCCCACTGATCTCTAACTTCTCTACAGAGGATCGAGCATCAAAAATCTTTTCTCAAACGGTTTTCTCGACCTTATATAGGTGTGGGGAAAGAACTTCCCCTTCTTCGGTCTTCGTTAATGAAGATGTGATGGAGCATTTATTAGAGTGGTTGAGAACCATCAGACATCGAGCCTTACACCTGATATGCGGCGTATGACTCCAAGCCATCAGCATTAAAGGAGGAACATTGACCTACCTCAACAAAATGTTATAGAGATAAACATTTTTATCAGATATTTCAATTCCTTGAATATTGCGTAGGAGGTTTAATTAACTCTTTCATAACTCATTGGATGAAGAAATTTTTGAATATTTGAATGATTTTAGATTTCTTTGAGTTTATTGTCATGTAACTAAGAGTGTGCATGACAACCATCCCAGAATCAATTTTTGTTCTCGGGAACAAAAATGGATAGAAATAGTGTTTGACAAAATCGATTTTTTTTGTTCCCGAGAATTAACCGGTTCAATTTTTGTGCTAGGGAACAGAAAAAGAATAAAAAAATTTCTGCTTTTTTGTTCTCAGGCACAATATGAGAAACACTTGTTTCTCTTAATCACTCTCCACCGCTACCATCATCACCACCACCACCACCACCATTCTGACATGACCACCACCACCATCGTCACCGTTGTCGTCGTACCACCACCGTCATCGTCACCACTACCACCACCACCACTTCGATGTCACCACTACCATCACTACCACCATGCCATCATAACCACCTCCACTACCATCACAAGCACTACCACCACCGTCACCATCACGACCATCGTCATTAACCACCATTACCATCACCACAATCACTGTCGTCACCACCACCACCACTATCATCACCACGCCACCACCACTACCATCATCGCCACAGCCACTGTCGTCATCACCACCACCATGCCATCGCCACCGCCACCACCACCACACCATATGAAAAGGAAAGTAGTGATCTAAATTTTGTTATTCTTAATATAAATGATTTTTTATTTTATTATTTGTTGTGTTATCAAACGCAATTTTCATTCTCAGAATAAAAATAGAACATGTTGTCAAACACATTTTATTTTTCTCAGAAACTGTTCCAAGACACATAAATAGAAAAAAGAAAGTCCTCACCAAAAAAAAAAAGAAAAAAATTATTTATTTTCAGAAACAATGCTGGAAAATAGAATGGTTATCATGCACACCCTAAATCACTTATTGAATGAATGAACTTGAATAACTGAATGGTTTTAAATTCCTCTGAGCTTTAATATGTCGTTAAATGCGCGGACTCATTTTTTGTTTTTGGTTATCTTCTTTCCGCTGTTGTTAAGGCCGAATGATATAACTGCCAAATCTGTAGTAAACACCGAAAAAGTAAATTATTCATTAATAAGTTCATCATTTTTACAGGATCAACACAAAGAAATTATTAATACAAGTACATTTACTCAGTGGATTCAATCTATCTGTTTGCTTAGAATTGGAATTTCCATGAAGGAGATATATAGCCTTTTCATTTACAGGATCAGATCGTTGTTTCAACATTCTAGCTGTGGTTTCTCATCCTTTAAAATGAAACACAAGTGTAGTCCTTTTTCTTGTCGTTAGGATGTCACTGAACACAAATCCCTCACATTCTTACCCTGGCAGTCAATTATCACAAAACTTGCCCTTCCATATGATAATTTGCTAAGTTTATCTATTTGGGCCAACAAATTGATTACTTAAACAAAACAAGTGTTGAAGAGGAAGCAAAATGCAGTTTCCTTGATGATTTTGATTCATGAATTGGTTTTAGATTGATTTCAGCGATACTGGGAGAAGCTGAAGGAACGCTCATAGTGAGATCAAGGTTTAAATCTGGCAGGGCATATGACTCATCCTCGCCACTTGCTGCATCTGAGATTTCACCATAACTGTCAACATTGGCCTTACTTGTCACATTCTTGCAATTGTCTTTCAAGTCTGAAGATTTTGAATTATCAGACATTGGTGGATTTTGAAGGGTAGGGATTTTCTTGCTTAAACGATGGTTATTTGGGTCAATACCCTTGCTAATGAGTTTTCTTCTTATATGAGAGTTCCAATAGTTCTTCACTTCATTATCTGTACGACCAGGCAATCTACCAGCTATTAGTGACCACCTATAGGAAATCAATGTGAAACATTAATTAATAAGCCCAATTTATACAACCAAACAATGAAAAAAAAAATCATTTATATTATTTAGTGGTGATAATGTTGCTAATTATATGTATTAAAATTTTTTAAGTCTTACACTTATTATCAATTGTTGATCTCAATTGTATTTAATTGTTCTAATTTTTACTCGTATGAGTTGTTAGATGCAGGTGGAATCAACAGTTAAAAAAGTGGGTTCAGTTGTTCTAATTTTTGAGATTAGGCTTACACTTTTATATATATAATGTCAAGAGCAACAAAAAAAGTGGGTTCATGTTATGCTTATAATTATATTCGCACCGGTTGCCTAGCAGTGCATGAAGCTTGATGATGAGATCTTCTTCATCTTCACCAAAGTTTCCCCTTTTAAGGTCTGGCCGTAGATAGTTTATCCATCTCAGCCTACAACTTTTACCACACCGAAGTAAACCTAATCAACATCAAACCAAAAATGTGTGTTAAATTTTTCCATCAAGTCACTTCCTTAATCATTTAAATCAAAATAAGAGGTTATATTTGAAACACCATAAATTAAACAATTGATATAGATGTTTTTAAAAGGAATTGATGTATGCTCTCATATAAACACACCATCTCCCATTAGTTCTTTTGGATATGTTGTAAATTCATTATGCATGTGTGATCATATATATGCTTGTTACATATATGTATGTATATATTCGGATGCCACATGCATATAAATTATAATATATATTAAGAGGTAGGATCTTTGACACTGGTGTCAAATTTCAATTTTGACACCTCATCTCAGAACCGTTAGATCAAAAAAAATCAACGACTCTGATTTGCAAGCATGTGACACCATTGATCTTTTTTGACACCGGTGTCAAAGAATCCTACCTCATATATTAATTCATTTTATTGCAGGGTTGCAAGGGGTTTAATACCTGCAGCTTGAGGGAGTGTACGCCAACAAACCTCGCCATGTTTCTTGATATAATCTATAAGTTTCTGGTCTTCTTGTTTGGACCAAGCTCCTTTGTTCATGTCTTTGGTATCACAGCAAGGTTTCCTCATTCTTTTTACGTTCAAGGAGTGGAACCCCAGCTACAACTAGAATAACCAAGACAAGAGAAAGAGAGAGATCGATATGCAGGATCACCAAGTGAACTCTGAACAGGGTGTGATAAACTCGAAGGAGGTAATAAATACTTGGTTGGTGTTTGAATATAAGGAAGTGAAATTAGTTGACTTGGACCGGTGGTTTTGCCCATACGCGACTGCGTGGTTTATGCGTGACTCACAACACACCTTCATAGAGAGAGAGAGAGAGAGAGAGATGGCAAAACATGGTTTAGGAAATTTGGAATATGTATTGGTTATTTTGTTTATACTTCCTAACCAAATTGAGAGTATAGTATGACATACGGTTGTTTTTAATGTGATTGGCGGTTAGGTTGACTCATCTAAATTGGATCTAACTTACCCTCTGATTTTAATCTGCATGATGTTAGGTTGCAAACGTGAGCATACACAGAAAAGAAAAGAAAAAGAAAATTGATGTTATTTATATATAAAATCTTACACTATTTTAAGTTTTTAACACTTCTTTAGTTTGGAAAAACTATCGTAAAAAATTGTATTGGAATGTATGTTTTTCTTGTTTTATTAACTAAAAATGGAAGTATTAAAAATGGCGTGATAAAAATAATGTAAAAAGAACCAAATGATGTTCGATCTTCTCCAGTATTGTCTTTGACAAGAGTTTAAAGTCTTGATCCTCGGATCTGTCCCGAATCAGACTAGTCGCGAAGCAATGAACTGATTGGAATATCTCAAAAAAAAAAATGTAAAAATAATTAAAATTGTGAAGGATAAATTGGCGGTGCGTCACATGTTACGGGGTTGACTGTTAGTTTTTTCCAACTCATTTGTTGTTTTGCTTGAGCGAAATCAGATTATAAGGTGGATGCATGTTTTCACATGATAGGTTGTTTCTTTCTTCTATTGTGCTATATATGCAAAAATTTGATTAGTGGCCTATTCTCGACAAGTTTTGTGGATGATCTCTTCCAACAGACACTTTGATAGTTCATCTTGTGTGCAGCAAACGGTTACCCACTTTATTTTTTCGTTTTTGGTTACAACGGACCACAACTTTTGACTAGTTAGTGCACGTACATTCCTATCTATATACGTGTCTAGAGTACTTTTGATTAATAATTTAATTTCCCTTTTTATTTTTTAAGTAAAATGCTTAAGCTGATGAGAGGTAAACTTGATTTAAACATAAGTCATACAATTCTTATGACGAGAAGGTAAATTTAGTCATACATTTGCACAATTGGCATATTTTCCTTTTCATCGTTATAGGCTAATATATAACGAAAAGTGATTTCCTTAGTATGTGTTAGTATCTTATATATACACTGGTTTAGTATTAATTTGTTTATTTATTTTTATAGCAAGGATATCATCTTGTTTGCTTTCAAGTTAATTAATTGTAAGCTTTTTCATTTTTTTTCTCAAATGCTATGTTGACGGGTGCATTTAGAAAAATTAATCTCCTTAAATAGTAGTAGCTTCTAACTTAGCAGTTAAAGCTTGAGGCATACCTCCTTAATTAGTCACTAGACTAAGCGCTTGTGTTCGTTAGGTATTTATTTGGACTATTCCTGAATTTTAGTTTGATTTTAGCCTTAATTGCTTATTGTTTTATAAAACTTCTTCCTCTGACCAAAAACTAAAAAGATGCAGAATCTTATGTTCGATGTAGAAACAAGGAACAATATGATCAGAGCAGTTTAATACAGTTCACGAAAATAAATCACATATTCTACGAAACAGTTTACATTTAATAATGATGTCAAACCATATACATCACAACCAAAAGATTTAATCCCAACAAAAAGTCCATTAGTTTTTATATATATGGTGCTGGCACAAGGGGTGTGGCTTTGTGCATGGTTCTGTGTATGGGTGTTTTGTTTGGGATGCTGGCAATGGTACATGTTTGAGGTTGAAGTTTGAAAATTTTAGGATGGAGGCTAGGAGGTGATGGAGTTGGGTTGTTTTTGTTTGGGGATTTTTGTGAACTCTAGGATTTGCTAGATTATTTTTGCTTCTATTTGAACCCAGAGAAGATTTAAACAAAACACCACTGTAGCATGCATCAATAATAATAATAATAATTCATGGTTTGTCCCATTACTATATCACTATAGGAGCTACATAACCTATTAAATACTACTTTGGAAAGAAAAAAAATATGGTCCACAAATTAAAATGGAATAAAAGGCGCAGTATATGTGAACAGAAAAAAAAAAAAAAAAAAAAAAAACTACCAATAATGAATTTCAGACAAAACTGCTTGTATATTTATATAATAAAATGTCGATACGACAATCGTGTCTTATGCAAAATGCTTGAATGGTAAGATTGGCATCGGTTAGAACCGTTTCTATAGCAACCACAATGATTTGTATCAATAATATATAGTGTTGTGGTTGCTACAATTTGCATGGCTGTAAAATTATATATATCAAAGATTCAAACCTATAAGCCCCTTGGAGATGGTCAACCCGAACGCATGTATGTGTAGTACCGTAGCAGCTTGCACATGCACATTCGGATATGTACAACCTATGAAACCCTTTGACTCTCAAGTCTCTAGTATGGTGTCCATGAAATTACGTGTACATTCGGATAAGAATGAATCAGATTCAACCCAAATCCCCGCATCCATTTTAGAGCCCTACCAAACTAAGTTTTGGTTTGCTTGGACTGCTCGATGGACACGCGTATCATGCTCGGCGCATCGACTGGCGCAACACAAGAAAGACGGGTGAGAATTGTGATTCTCCTATTTCCCTTTTTATTTCAAGGTATGTATGTATTACTGGTGAAATATTATTCATATACGTAAAGCCCTCTAATCGAAAATTTTAGTTTCTTCTAAATTGTTATCGTTCGTTTTCGGGTTGGTTCTGGGGTGGACCTTCTATAATGTATACGAAATTAGTCAACGAATTTACGTTATTAAAGGATAAAGCAAGGACGATTAGATGGAAGGAAATAAAAAATAAAAGAAATTATATGCATTAGTTAACCTATAGGGGAAGAAAGAGGAAAGAAGGTAAATGGTTGGTGTGACTTACCACTCGTTGACGACACCTAAAGCTTGCATTGTGATCTCTTGCTCACATTTGTGTTTTAAAATGGGGTTCGTGTAT